GGTAGCTCAGGAGGGGCCGGATTAGCCCTTTAAGCTTCTGTGAATCTAAGGCCAATCAGGAGCTGGACAGCCAGCCTGGAGAGGAGGGGTCAGACCCCAGCTGCGGGCTACTCAGCTGCCCTCCATCTCTCCCTCCACCCCTTCTTCTCACATCCGGAAATGGGGTCTGGAGAGGAAGAGGGACCAGCCATGGAGGGTGGGGAGAGGCATCTCCTCCCTCCACACTTGTGAAGAGCCTTTTTGCTCCTTCAGGATCCCTCCTGGCTTGTAGGGCCAGACCCCAACCCCAGCCTCTCTGGGACCCCCTCTGCTTGCTTTACCCACAGGCCCCCTTAATAGGGGTAGGGGACCAATTCTATCCACTTCAGTGCACCCCCAGCAGCCCTTCTACCTCCAGCTGAGGAGTGTTTGGAGTCAGGGCATCTGGTCAGAGCACTAGCCAGGGTCAAAGCACGCAGCCCCCGGAAACCTCTCCCAGCCCCACCACCCGCTCCTGACACCTACTGTCCTCAGGGGACAGAGCCTGTAAACTGCCGGACTCACCTCCACCAGCCTTCTCTGTTACCTCTCTTGCAGCTGAGCTCAGGAAGATGGGCGGGTCAGGGACCTGGGAGACCTTCGTCCCTAGCCTCCTGCTCCACCCTCTCTTAAACCCATTGGCCATATTAGCTTCTGGGCTGGGAGCCAGGGTGTCTGGTTCCCAAGTCAGCTACATCCCCAGCCCAGCTAAAGTCGGGAAGGAGGCATGTGGGTTGCGAGGTGCAGTATTACCCTGGGACGCGTAGAGACTAGCCTTCCCCCATCTCCGTGTGCCTCAGTTTCTCTACTTGTGATCCACCAGGGAAAGAGGAGCACCCCCAGGCACCACAACAGCTTCCTGTCTTTTGACCCCACACATCAGCTGCTCCACCTCACCCTTCACCTTCAGGGCAGGCTGACCTCAGGATGGCCACACACAGGGGCTGCCTCAGGCAGGAATCCAACTCAGGAGACCAGGTCTCATAGCTGAGGGCTTTCTGCTTCTCCTTCTTCCGCCCCTGAGAGGTTCCCTTTGAGGCAGGATGATCTGAGGGCTCCAAGAGGTTTGTCTGACATGCTGTCAAGGTAGGGAGAGGGGTTCTCCCCAGAGAAGAAAAGAGAAGTCGGGACTAGGGCATTAGGGGCTGAGCGGCTGAGAAGGAGGAGGGAGCCAGGAGGGGATGTTGCGTAAGGACCTGGCTGTGACCCCATACGTCACTCTTCCACCCCCCAGTTTTAACCTTTCCCTCCCCACTGCTTCCTCTCGGTGGAAAGCGGACTACTGGGAAACAAAACGTGTGTCCTCAGGAAATCAATTAAGGGGAGGGACTTCCTTCAGACCACACGCTACCAGGAGTCTTGCTCCTTGGTCCTCTCTGTCCTTCTATGTGGGAAGAATGTTGCTCCCACCCCTCCCTGGGGTTCACAGTGCTTCTAACTACTTTCTATGTCCCTGTCTCTGCAAAAAATCTAGGGACACAGATGAGGGAGGGGCCTTTTATGGTGGAGATGTGGGGGTCTGGAGAGGGGGTGGAGGGTGGATAAGAGGGGCGGGGTAGAGGGTGTTCTCTGACACAGGATGCTGCACTCCCAGGTCTGGATGCTTTAGGAGCAGTGTGACACTGTATCCAGAAGGTGGCGCCAGAACCCATCGACCTGTGGGACCCCAGGGAACAAGACTGGGGCAGTTTCCTAGGCAACAGGCAGCCTTTCTGAAAGCCCTGCCCTTGGCAACCATTCCGTGGTTGCCCAAGCCTGTAGTAAAATTTGGTTTCTGAAGGACAGTAGGGGCATGGGGGTAAAATAATCTAATCTCTCAGAAAGGAGCGAGGCTGCTGAGGGTGGAGAGGGGAGTCTGAAAGACCCGCTCACTGTTGTCATGTATTACTAAGCACTCATTACACCACTGTGGTAGGTGTCTTACCCTCAGCAACACTATGACTCAGTCACACATATTCCTTTGTTGTGGATGGGGAGAATGAGGCTCAGAGAGACGAAGTGACTTGCCAGAGTCACCAGCTGATACCAGGTGGACCCATTTAGGAAGCTGGGCCTGCCTGGATGTTCCTCTCCATTCCACTACACCTCCTGGTGGGTCTGAGGTGTCCAAGCCCCCAAAGGAAGCTGGTGTGAGGCGGGTTCTGGA